AGCTGTATGGTGCTTTCTTAAAAAGTTGCAAATAGAAATATCCTTTGGCCCAGCAATTCCACTACTAGGAATATACCCCAAAGAGACCATAGCTGACATCCAAGCAGATATATGCACACCCATGTTTATTGAAGCTTTGTTCACAATAGCAAAGAGTTGGAAACCCAAATGCCCATCAACAAACAAATGGATAGAGAAGCTGTGCTATATTCACATAATGGAATACTACGCTGCAGTAAAAACAAGGAACTCATGAAATATTGTACAAGATGGGTAACCCTGGAGGACATGCTGAGTGAAATGTTTCAGTCACAAGAGGACAAATACTGCATAGTGCCACTGTTGTAAAACGGGACTGACATCGGGGTTGGGGGGAGATTGAGAAAGATGGGATAAATTATTTATACTGCATTGAAACAGATGAGGAAGAGAACTGTTTAGGAGGAATATAGGATTAGGTATTATTGTCATGACAAGAGTCCAGAGTGAAAGCTGCATAGTGGAGTGGACTGGGGGCAGGGGCAGGATTGTATAACAATGAAATATTATTTTTTTACTTTTCAAAGAGAAAAGCGAACTGGGGGAGGGGTGAGCAGGGAGGAAAGTGTGCAACTATAAATGAATGGAAATCTAAAGTCTATAAAATTTCATTAAAATATTTTTTTAAAAAATTTATGTACATAGGGGAGCTCTGGTGGTCTAGTGGTAAGGAGCCACAAATACAATCCCAGAGACGCACGGTTCGAATCCACCAGATGCTCTGCCGGGGAAAGAGGGACAATCTCCTCCTGTACCGGTCAGATCTGATTTGACGGTACACTCACACAAAAACAAGAAAATAAAAAAATTTTATAAAAAGTATGTACAAAAACCCCCAAAGTTGACAAATGACAACCTCCAAGACAAAAGACAAATCTAGTCAATTGATTTTGGTTTTGGTTTTTATTTTATTGTGTGTGTGTGTGTGTGTGTGTGTGTGTGTGTGTGTGTGTACCGTCAAATCGGATCTAACTGGTACAGGAGGAAATTGCCCCTCCTTCTCCAGCAGAGCATCTGGTGGATTTGAACTACGTGTCTCTGAAATTGCAGTGCAACTTCTTGCCACTAGGCCACCAAAACTCCCATTGATTTTGTAAATAAAATTTTGTTGGAACACACGCACACAAAAATATTTATGACTCTCCACATGAGACACAACCAATCCTCCACGAGAAAAGTATACCTATGAAATCAGAGACAACTCCCCCATTTTATAAAAGCATTCTTTCCTTTAAAAACGTACAAAAGACAATTATTAAATTTCCTCTAATGAAAATCTGCAACGCCTTTAAAGTACCTTGCAATTGGCTGCTTGGTCTACCTCCTCACTTCTTTCGGTTTACATGCATGCCTCCTGTTCAAAAATAGTTTATTATTCTTGATATTTTAACTAAAATTCTGTACATATTTTTCTTTTGAGATTATGTACTTTTAATAAAGTTATTTTTAAAAAAAAGGCATAGTGGAGCCGGTCCCCTCCCCTCAGCAACACGGCTGCTGCTCCTCAGCGCAGCAACAGGGGTTTCCCCTTAGTCGCTGCTCCCAGC